CTAGGAGCAGACGCAGCCCCTACCTCCGCGCCAACGAGGTCAACAGCAGCAGCAGAAGCAACAGAGGGGAGAAGGGGGACAGGGGAACACCCCTCAAAGAAAGGGGCGCGAGGGTCGCCACGAGAAGCACCTACAGCAACGATACTCTTCTCATCTGCAGTGAGGCGCTCCTATAGCAGGTCGACGGTGAGCTCGGTGGGGCAAAGGGAGAGAAAGTGGTCCCTGACTGAAGCAAGGGAGTCAGGGAGGCGGGTGAATAGGTAGTAAAGGGTGATGTACATGGGGGGGGGGGTTCTTGGCACAGAACTCAGTGGGAAGCGCAGCTCGGTAGCGGGCGTCACTAGTGCGGAGGTGAGTAATGAGGTCAGCGACTGTGGCAAAGGCGGCAAGGTCAGGGAAAAGGTACGGCAGCATGAGGCGGCTGAGGGCAGCAGTGGCAGGGGAGGAGTAGCGCGCTACTACAGCGTCATACAAAGACTGAGCAGTCTTGTACTGGCCAAAGTGCGCGCGCTCAGAAGACGGCAGGTGACTACGAACAGCAAGGCGAGCAACAGCGTCACGAGTGGTCCATTGTGAGCGAACCGTACTGTCAGCAGTGGCAGCAGGTGCAGGAGAGGCACCGGACGTATGATCGAAAAGCGATACTCCGTCCTTAGAATCACACTGAAGAAAGAGCTGCAGGTCGTCAACCCACACGTCAAAATCAACCGCACGCCCCTCAGCATCAAACGTAAGAGCAGTAGGGCTAGCCATAGCGGCAGTAGCAGCAGTAGCAGTAGTGGCAGCAGAAGCAGTAGTAGTAGCAGGAGCAGCGCGGGCAGGGATTTGGGCTCAGTAGGGCGGCACGGCTCGGCAGGGCGGCGCGGCCCGGTAGGGCGGCGCGGCTCGGCTGGGCGGGGCGGCTCGGTGCCTGGCGACGCGGCGCGGCAGGGCGGCGCGGCTCGGCTGGGCAGCGCGGGTGCTTACAAGGGGCAGGTGCAGGGCAGGGCCGCGACTAGGGCGGCAGCAGGGCCGCGACAGGAGCGGCTGAAGGGCAGGGCCGCAACTGGGGCGGCTGAAGGGCAGGGCCGAAACAGGCGGCGAAGGCAGGGCTGCGACTGGGGCGGCAGTAGGGCAGGGCCGCGACAGGGCGGCTGCAGGGCAGGGCCGCGACGGGCGGCGAAGGCAGGGCCGCGACAGGGCGGCTGCAGGGCAGGGCCGCGACGGGCGGCGAAGGCAGGGCCGCGACGAGCGGCGACGGGCCAGCGACGGGCGGCGACGGGCGGCAACGGGCCGGACGGGCCGGCGACGGGCCGGGACGGGCCAGCGACGGGCGGCGAAAGGCAGGGCCGCGACAGGGCGGCTGCAGGGCAGGGCCGCAGTGGGCGGCTAAGGCAGGGCCACAACGAGCGGCAACGGGCCAGCGACGGGCCGCGACGGGCCGGGACGGGCCAGCGACGGGCGGCGAAGGCAGGACCGCGACGGGTCAGCGAAGGCAGGGCCGCGACGGGCCGTACTAGGGCAGGGCGCGCGACGGAGCAGGTGAGGCAGGCTCGAGGCGCGCTTCGGGCAGGGCAGGGAAAAAAAAACATCGTGGTGGGCCCTAAAAAAAAAGTTCCCACTAGGGAACCTGCTCAGAATACCATGTTGGAATAATGAACGAAGGAATGACTGAACTAGCAAGCAGGTGGGTACAAGTAGGAAACCTAAAAGGGTTGTACCCTATATGGACTACCCCACTACAGCCTAGACAGACTATAGCATATAAGTTTGACAGCACGATCACGCACTTATCTAAAAACGGGCGGAAGGCTTCGTTCGTGGTCATTTGAAAGGTTGCAGGGGCGTTGGTCAATCCGAAAGGCATGGCGGTGTATTCGAAGGATCCGTAGCGTGTTCGGAAAGCTGTTTTCGGGCAGTCCGTGGGTTGAGTCGGATCTGTTGGTAGCCTCCTCGAATGTTAATTTTCGAGAAATCCCGGGCTGTGTGTTCGAGGTCCACTGGTGATCCCCGGTTGATCTTGGGGAAGGGTTACAGGCTCGTTGTCCTGGGGGGTTTTGGGCGCACTGACCCGCTACTTAACAAGCCCTTTTATCCCTATGGTCTAGTGGTTGGGATTCTGACATGGTATCAGAGCGAAGGTCTCGGGTTCGAATCCCAGTGTGTGCACTTCGGGCATCCCAGTGCGGGGGGGTGTCAGAGGTCCACTTGTGATCCCCGATTGATCCTAGAGAAGGGTTACAGGCTCGTTGTCCTTGGGGGTTATGGGCGCACTGGCCCGCTACTTAACAAGCCCTTTTATCCCAATGGTCTAGTGGTTGGGATTCTAACACTGTGCGCAGTTGGTCGATCAATTTGTCGGCTCGTGGGATGGGGTAACATGACTTGATGGTAACACTGTTCAGTGCGCGGTAATCGATGCACATGCGAAAACCCCCGTCCTTTTTCGGTGTGAACAATATCGGTGCTGCGAAGGGTGACGAACTCGTGTGAATGAATTCCTTCTCGAGCAAGTAATCTAGCTGCAGTTCGTCCAGCTCGGGTTGGGTCAGTCGGAACTGTCGCTGTACTGTCGGCTGTGCCCCTGGTTCTAACTCTATCCTGTGGTCGTGCGGTAGCTTAGGTGGCAGTCCTGACGGCAGGTCATCCGGGAAAATCCCACTGTACTGCTTCAGTAGTGCTGCCAAGTCATCCAGTACGTCGGCTAGCAGTTTCTGTAAACCCCCCCCTTTGTTTGCTGCCTTGGCTTCCCGAATGTGGACCGCGTACACGTCAGCTACTGCCACTACGGCGCGTTTCATCGTGATCGCGTTGACACGCACCGACGAAGACTCAGGCGAGCCCCAGCGAGGTAAGGCGATGTTGTTAGTGTTCACTCGCACGGTATAATCACCCATCGTCCAGTCAATTCGCGGATTGTGTCGTCGCAGTCAATCACGGCCGAGTAAAATGTCGGTTCCGTTGACGGTTGTCGCGAGCATTTCCTGGCTAAACATGAAGTTACTCCCGCATCGAATCCGAACCCGGTCTATGTGTTCCCGTATCGCCAGTGGCGTGCCGTCAACCAGTCTTGCGTCGATCTCAGGTAAACATCTGTCCAGTGGCAGTCTCAGTTTTTGTGCCGTGGCGGTGTTGATCAGGCTGTGGCTGGCTCCCTCCTCCGTCTACGAATATTTTAACTAAGTCTGTCCCAATTTTCCCGTTACGCAGTACGGGGCTGTCTACCGTAGTCCCCTCCTTATTCGGCCGGGTGTGGTCGATTGCGTGAACCGGCACAATCACTCGGTGAGGGTCGGTTGGGTTAGGCGAGCGGCGCGACCTGTCAGTAGAGGGCCTGTCTGCTACTGACTCCCAACGTTTCCCTGTTGCTTGGTCTGTTTCTGCTGCTCAGCTTCCCCCTTTCCCTTAGCGTTTTCCGTGCATTCGCTCTTGCGGTGTCCCGGCCGATTACACGCGAAGCAGTGCTCTTTGAACGGTGCGGCAGCAGCATTCGCGGCGACGGCACGTATCGTGGCGCCCTCGTTCGTCCCACGAGATCGATGTCCCCAGTTGCTGTTGCTTCCGCAGGACCCCGGCTCGGTCGGCGAAAGAAGTCGAGCTTCTCCGCCATGGCGAGAATTTCCTGGAAATCGGTGACGCCGCGGAGCTCAGTTTCTTGGGCGATATCATGCTTCAGGCCGCCGATGTAGCGGTCGATGCGCTCGCTTTCGTCCATGTAGCCCACTTGCTCACACAGCGCCAGGAACCCACTAGTGTAGTCTTGGACGGAACTGAGTTGGCGCCAAGTGCGAGCTAGCTAGTGCTACGCTGGCGCGAGTTTCGGGCTATTCCCGAACCGTAGGCCGACTCGGCTGCTCCAACAGTGCGAGGTTTGGTGAAACAGTGCGCGCGAAGTTGGCGAAGCCCTGTTAGCAATAACGGGCGAACAACGGCTGCTGCTTTACGCGATGTGGACGGTCGCGGTAAGGAATAGCGAGAAAATTCCTTACAACAATGAATATGTGTCCACATGAGTATGACTAATTTGTTTTCGTCATTTTATTACCTATTTTGAATTGTTCCATGACATTATTGCCAGGAGGATTTTGAACAACCGGTTCAGTTCAGAGGTGTAGTGTTATGATATGCTGGTTTACTTGATGAGTCCGATTTACGCGGGCGCCTCGCGCTGGTTTCGGGAGTCTGTCTGCGCGGCGCCACCGACCCTCTCTGACGCGCAGGCGCGCCTCGAGCACCTGGAACAGCGCTCGACCCCGAATTCAATTTCGAGGATGTACTCGTGTGAAGCCGGTCATGGTTACAGAAGTCTACAGCGCGATCGAGCGAGTCTTGCTCACGAAGTCCAGCTCTCTATGCTGACTTTTCCAGTTAATTGGCAAAATGCAGTAAACACCCACAGACCAGAAACCGTTCCCAGATCAAAACGTGACACGACAAGTGCAACGAGCAGATGTTATGTGTGCGGCATATAAGGCTTGAGCCAAAACTATTTGTGGCTGTGCTTTCCTCTCCTCCTTTCCCTTCCCTCCCTCCCCTTTTCCCTTCCGTTGCTCCTCTCCCCCCTCCCTTCCCCTCCCCCCCATTTGCCTGCCAACTCCCAGCGATTTCTACTTCCCACCAATTTTCAGGTGTGGGCAATTTTTGCGCAGCAGCAGGAACAGGAGCATCTGACACGGCCATATCCAGTTCCCAAACGCAACTGCATTCTGAAGAGTCGAGAGTTCACAGGGGTAGATTGTCTTGCGTGGTTGCTCGCAACACCAGTAGAAAGCAAACCGAAGCTAGTGCGTGCGTCGCTCCCTCAACGTATTAGGTCTATCTCTGTCATAACTCCTCGCTGCTCCTCGATAAAGTATTTTCAAAGAAATCAACCGAATTTGCCTCGTATCAAAGCTCACCAGCAGCACCTACGGAACATTCCACCATCACCACTCGTCTATTGATGTCCGCCACCTGCATTGGAGATACGGGACAGACTTCTTGCCCATAGATACAGCCAACACAGAATTTCGGTAACGCCAATGCAGGCCCCCTCCACAGACCTTCCATATGACACCCTCGAAAAGGCCGCGGCAATCACGACGGGAGCGACGGCAAAATTCCCCGCGGGAATGGCGGTGCAGGGAAGCCCACACTTCAAGGTCCGCACGACGCTTTTCTTCGTGATCTCCCTCGTGGCCTCAGCATTGGCTCTCCTCGCGCCAGTCTTCTATCTATCTGCCGTCTCCTCCGTCGTGCCCATTAGCCCGCGATTCATTTTTTCATGGCCTCCTCGCTCCGCCTCCGCTGCCGCTGGGGACGCAGATTCTCCGGCTTTTTCGGCGGGCGGCACCGCGGAGGGTTTCGTAGGCGGCGGCCAAGCGGCGGACGGGTGGGCGGATTTTCGAACCATAGTGGTGGGAACAGGTACGCGTCGTAAGATGCTCGCGCTCCTCGCGTTGCTCTAGTGGTTCGCCAGGGTTAAAGCTCACGCCTCACTTTGTTTCAACGGTCGCCGTCGGTTCGTGCACTGGGAAATTCTCGATAAAGGCAACCCTCGTTTTGAAAGCACTGCTCGTGTGAAACGTGCCGCGCGTTCCAAGAAACTCAAATCGTTTTCGTCATCGCTTACCCGGCACATGCTACTCCACTCTTTTCCTCCCACTTTTCCGCCCCCCTCCTTATCGTTCCCCCTTCCCTTGCCTCCCCGCCTCTCCTATACCTCCGCTTGCCTCCCCTCCCTGCGCCGCCGCTCCGCCAACTTCCGCTCGTTCCCTTCGGCGGCGCGCCGTCACTCCCCTTTAGCTCCGCCAGGTCAGACGATAGTGGTGGTCAGCAGCCGGAAGGACGACAACGAGGCATCTAATATCGGAGATAGCGCCGTGGGGAGCGTAAGGCGTGGCAAGGGGCCTTTCAAGGAAGGCTCGCTGGCGGCAGGCGAAAACGAAGGGGGAGCTGGCGGGGGAGGAGGAGACACAGGGAGCATTGCTAAAGGGGCGGGCGAAACAAGAGCAGCAGCAGCTGTGGCAGTGGAAGCAGCCGCAGCAGCAGAAGCAGGGGAAGGGACATCAGGAGGAGATACGCTGGTGGGTGTGCAGGGTAAAGTAAGCACGGAGCCTGAGGGGGATACCGGACTTAGTCTTCCCACCACGGAACCTCTGTCAACGGGGCGCACTGCCCTACCTCCCCTCCTCAACATCACGGGTCGCATTCCCGGCTCTCGGCTAATCACAAAGCGCCAGGTGGACGCCTTCCGCGCGCGGTGGCGGTGCATCAGCGAGTCGGGACGCTGGGAGACGGACGAGACCCCTCGTCCCCTCCCCTGGGCTCTTCCGAATTACACGTTCGGGGGCTGTGATGTGGTTTTCACCAGGCGCCGCAAGGCGCATCTTGCAGGTGAGCTTGCCGACGCTGCGGCTCTGGATCGGAACATGCAGGATCGATGGGTGGTTCGGGGTTCGCTGATGTATGATTGGAGGGTGGATGAGGGGCGGTGCGGTGGAGGGTTGAGGGAATTCGAGAGTGGGAGGATGTGCGAGTTGGTGGGAGGTGGAGGGAAGAACATTGCGTTTATAGGCGACTCGTTAACAGGACAGATGCACACCTCGTTCTTCAATCACATGCGCATGGCTCAGCGGAATCCCTCAGAAAGCAACTCCAACGGCGACAGCAGCAGCAACAGCAGCACTAGCAGGGTGGAGGGAAGAACGGCAGTGGAGCAGCGGCCATACGACCAGCTGTGCTGTGGAGGAGTGCTGCAGCAGAACCCAACCCTGGGCGAGTGGCAGGTGTGCGAAGGAGCAGCCTTCTGCTCAGCTGGTGAGGAGAAAAGGCGGGAGCAGGAAGAGGCAGGGGTGGCAGGGGTTGCCAGGAAAGACGGAACGGCTGGTTCATTTATTGCTGATTTCATCAGGAATGATTTCCTAACGGTGGTGGATCATCCCCGGTGGAACCTGGACACGTTTGCAGTGGAGCTGCCTTTCCTGGGTTACATGAGTGGTAACCGCTGCGATGTGATGCGACTAGAGAGCGAGATGGAGGGGGGGGTGAATCGGAGCAAGAAGAGGAACAGACGGCAGATGAGGGAGAAGCGTAATAGTAAGAAGGGAGTGCGTGGAGTGGGAGCAGATGTGGGGTCTGGCCTAGGTGTTGCGGACGAAGCCAAACCAGCTGCTAATCTGACGGCGCAGCTTTCTTCAGCGGCAGCACTGTACAAAAAGTATGACATCCTTGTAATGAACCGTGGGGCTCACTATGCGGGGGATGACGTGTTCGTCCCGGAGCTTCGTGAGACGATCCTTGCACTGCGCACGCATTTCCCAGACGCTCTTATTGTATACCGCAACACCCCGCCCGGACATGCCAACTGCACGCAGTATTGGGAGCCGATTTCCAAGCGGCAAGCACCGGAGACGTTACCTTACAATTGGGGTGATTTTGTAAGGCAGAATGAAATGGCTCGTGAGATTGTGGAGGCAGCGGGTGCAGTGTATCTGGACGTGGACACGATGACGGCTCTGAGGGCGGATGGGCATGTGGGGAAGAACAGGCGGTACAAGGTGGATTGCCTGCATTACTGCCTGCCTGGCCCCATAGATCTCTGGACCAAGATGCTCTATAATGTGCTTCTAGAGCTGCTCTAGTTTAGGTTTTAACTCCTGAGTAAGAAAGTCCTAATGAATTGGTTAGGAAAAACATTGCTTTGTATATCTGTACCCATTTATAGTACAGTTTTCGCTAGTTGAGTGTAGCGCTTCTGTGGTGAGGTCACACTCCTCGGGTGTCGCTTGGACTGGCACGTGTCCTCGACATGACTGTCGTTTATTGAGCCACGCCGCCCCGCGCGGGCTACACAATGCTGCGAGAAATTGGAATTTCGAGGCGCGGCTCGATGCGTCTTCAGCCCCCCAGTCCCGAGGTGAGACCGACTAAGAATGAGCGGAGCTGTGTGATAGGAACAACAATTTCTCAGCAGCAGCAGCAGCAGCAGCAGCAGCAGCAGCAGCAGCAGCAGCAGCAGCAGCAGCAGCAGCAGCAGCAGCAGCAGCAGCAGCAGCGAGTAGCTATTACCGGTGCGCAGATCGCTGGATCGACGACTGGTACAGATCCAGTGCGTGTCCTCCGCCTTTACTCTCCGCGCGGTTTTCTCCGCGGGAGCAGGAGTCGGGAAGCCTTTGCTTCAAGGCTCGACGTGTTGTGTTGTGCGTCTCACAGGGGTCATTGGAGGATATTTGCTTTTGCACTTGACTTGACCCCAAGTAGCTTGCAGATCGGCTCAACGAAACTTAGAGTTCAGTTCGTTCTTTGTTAGCAGCAGTTACTCTTTAGTTGCAGTACTAGTGGTGTAGTAGCCACGTCACGGCTTACATTATCATTGCTGTCATTGTGTGAACAGTGCTAGTAACACGTCAGCTGTACACAAGCCATCACACCATGTCGACGCTCCTGTCCCTGCCTGGACTCATCAACCTATGTCTCTCTCTCCTCATCCCGCCGCTGGGTCTCCTTCTGCTCATCCCGCTCGCCGTCGTGCTGAACGTGTACCACTGGGCAACGCTCGCCACGCGCTGGCTGCTGCTGCGCGCGCCCTCGCCCGCGCTCTCCTGGCGCTACTCCTCGCGCGATAAGGTCGTTGTCATCATTGGCGCGTCGTCGGGCATCGGCGAGGTGAGCGGTGGTGTACGGTGGAGCGCGGTGCAGTGCTGGAGCGGTGGGAGAGAGCCCTACTGAAATCGCTCCCACACCCCAACGTTGCCATCAGTAAGCGCGCCCCCACCCGCCCTCGCCCGCGCTCTCTTGGTGCTACTCCTCACACGATGGAGCATCACTGGCGCTTCATCGGGCATCGGCGAGGTGAGCAGTGCTGCACGGTGGAGCATGGTGGAGTCATCCCTCCTACTGGAATTGCCCCCACACCTGAATGTTCCCTTTAGTAAGCGCACCCTCCCTCGCCCGCGCCCTCCTGGCGCTACTCATCACGCAACAAGGTCGTCGTCATCACTGGGACTTCGTCAGCCATCAGCGAGGTGAGTGGTGGAGGGCGGTGGAGCGCGGTGGATTGCTGGAGCGGTGTGGGAGCAATGCAGTGATGTCATCCTTCCCTCAGATTCTTCCCTCTCCTTTTGAGTACGCGCGCAAGGGTGTGGCTCGTGTTTCACTAATCCCCTCCTTTCCCCTCTCTCCCTCTCTTCCCCCCCACCCCCCTTCTAACTCCCCCTCCCCCCTTCCCCCCACCCCAACAGTACATGGCGCATGAGTACGCGTGCAAGGGCGCGGCTCTTGCGTCACTTCTCCCCTCCTCTCCCCCCTCGTTCCTCTCCCCCCCAATCCCCCCACTGCGCCCCTCCCCCCATCAGTACATGGCGCGTGAGTATGCGTGCAAGGGAGCGGCGCTGGTGCTGGCGGCGCGCAGGGAGAACCGCCTGCGTGCTGTTGCTGACGAGTGCATGCGCCTGGGCGCTGCTGACGTGGCGGTGCAGCGCGCTGACGTGTCCACGGAGGAAGGGTGCCACGCGGTGGTCAACGCTGCCGTGGAGCACTATGGGCGGAGTGAGTAACACACGGCAAAGGGAGGGTTGGGTTGGGGAAAAGGGGTGTGGAGTAGAGTAGGGCCGGTAGTGGGTGTTGTTGCAGGGTTTCATAATCAGCGGTGATCAACGCTGCTGCGGAGCACTACGGCAGAGTGAGCAGGGGAGGTGGTGAGGAGGGGGAGGGAAAAGGGGGTGGTGAATGAGGAGAGGGGGAAGCGGGGGATTGGAAGAGGGTGGGAGGCAGTTAACGGATTACTGGCCTCTCCTATCTCCCGTCTGTACCTCGTCTCTCCTCTTCATGATCTTTCAGTCCGTTGATCTCCCTCTGCCCTTCTGCCCATCTTTCCCAGCTCCCCTCCGCTCATCCCCTCCTTTACCCTCCCCCGTTCCCCCTATTCCCCCTTTCCTCATCCCACCTCCCCCCTCTCCTGTGCTCTTCTAGTCAATGTGCTGGTGTGCAATGCAGGCACGGCGCATCCGGGCCTGTTTGAAGACGCACAGGACCCCACCACCCTCCGAAGCAGCATGGTACCCGGGGAGGGTGCGAGGGTGGGTGGGTGGGTGGGTGGCTGGGCGGGTGGGTGGCTGGCTGGGCGGGTGGGTGGGTGCATGAGTGGGTGCATGGGTCATCGATGCATGGAGGTAACCCATGCGAGTGGAAACACTGGAATTGGCGCATGTAAATCTTCACTTTTTTTCTGGGAAGCCCCGGTCACAAAAGACCATCCTCTGCAATCCCCACCATCACCCCTCACCACCCCACCCCGACCCCCCTCCCCTTCCCCCATGCCTGCCATGACATTGACTCCTGGGGTAACGTGTGGCCGACGGTGTTTGTCAACACCGCCAACAAACTTAGTCATGCCCCGACGCGCCCACAAAAGACAAGAAAAACTTTCTCTGCAATCCCTGCCATCCCCTTTTCCCCCTCCCTCCCTCTCCCCTCCCCATGCCTGCCAGGACATTGACTTCTGGGGCAACGTGTGGCCAACGGTGTTTGCGATGCCGTACCTGCGCAGGAGCCATGGGCAGGTGGTGGTCACGGCGTCAGTGGCCGCTTATCTCACGTACCCACGCCAGTCCATGTACAATGTACGCCGCTGTCTTTGCACTGCCATGTGACACACCTCACATACCTCACGTACCCATGCCAGTCCATGTACAATGTATGTTGCTCTCTCTGCATGGCGACGTGCCTAATGTGCCTTACATTACCCACATCCACATGCCCCACATGCACATGCCCCACATGCACATGCCCCACATGCACATGCCCCACATGCACATGCCCCACATGCACATGCCCCACATGCACATGCCCCACATGGCTCACGTATAATGCTGCCAGTGCACTGCCACGTGCTTCGCGTTCCTCGTTCGTTCCCATGCGCATTGCTCTCTTGCCCTGCCAGGCGGCCATGGTGCCATTTCACCACTCACCACAAACACAAACCCCCTCTCGCTCCTGTTACCATCCCTCCCACTCCCCCTGCACATGGCCAGGCAGCCAACGCGGCCATACCAGTAGTTCTACGCAACGTTGCATGCAGAGGTGACTTTTGAGTCGACTCACAAGTCACCTGCATGCATCCCACTTCCCTCCTGCTGTACCCTCCTTTCACTCTCCCCCTCCTTTCAAGGCGGCCATAGTGCAGTTCACAACTCACCACACACACCCCCCACTCTCTCCTTCTATACCCCCCCCCCCCCCCTCCGTGTTCCCCCCTATCTCCACCAGGCGGCCAAGGCGACCACAGAGCAGTTCTACGCCATGCTGTGTGCATTTCCCGTCTCTCGATCAACCACACCTCCCTCCCTCTCTAATGCTGCACCTTCTCCATCCCTTCCCCCTACCTGCCTGCAGGCGGCCAAGGCGGCCATAGTGCAGTTCTATGCTACACTGCGTGCGGAGGTGCATCCTGAGGAGATGGCTATCACCATCGCCATGCCTGGCTTCGTGCACTCAGAACTCACCTCCCGCGCTGACGCCTCTGTGAGTGAGGTCCTCCCGAGGGAGGATGCACCTTTGTGAGCTGGCTGGCACTGGCTATCCGGGGGAGGTGGCGATCACAGTCGCCATGCCTGGCTTCGTGCACTCAGAACTCACCTCCCGCGCTGACGCCTCTGTGAGTGAGGTCCTCCCGAGGGAGGATGCACCTTTGTGAGCTGGCTGGCACTGGCTATCCGGGGGAGGTGGCGATCACAGTCGCCATGCCCGGCTTCGTGCACTCAGAACTCACCTCTCGCGCTGACGCCTCTGTGTGCGAGCGAGCCGCCCGCGCTGACGTGGCGGCCTGTGAGAGGGACTGAGGGATGTTCAACACTTTCGCACACACACAACATACACTCACGCACGCCCCTTGCTCGCTCGCTCTCTCCATGCTCACGCCCTCAGCCTCTGCGCTTTCTCATACCCCACGCTTGCCTGCGTTGTTCTTTCTCCTTCTCTGTCCTTCAGCACCCGCCACTCGTACCTGATCAGTAAACCCCCTCTACGCCCGCACACACTGCCTCAAATCTCCCCATCCTCGCACCTCTTAATATCGCACCCGAACTAGTCATGATTTTAATTGACTCACCTAACGAAAAACTCCAATCCCCCTTCCCCCGTTGCCCCCTTTCCCCCGTCCCCATTCTCTCCTTTTTTCAACCCGCGCCCATGATTCCTGCCGTTCCCCCAAATGGCAGACGCACATTCCCTGGTGGTGGCCCATGCTATCCACCCCCGAGGCCGCGCGCATCATCGTGCGCGCCGCGGAGCTGCGTCAGCGCCACGTCATCGTGCCCTTCTGGTACAGCGCATGGCTGCTGTACCGCCTGTTCGCCGCGCAGGTCATGGACTGGTCGCAGCGCGTCATGCTGCTGGGGCGCGCGCCGTCGCGATTCGTGAAGAGCGCGCTGGCGGCGGCGGTGGGGGAAGAGGGGGCGGAGTGGCTGTTCCGCAGTGTGGCGGCAATGCCCGCCAAGGGGAAGGGCAAGGTGGAATGATGGAAGCGGGGGACATAGGTGGGTGGAGTAACGATTCGGCTCGAGTAAAATCTATTTGTGTACCGTGTATTAGGGCGTGTGCCTTTTTTGATTTTTTTTTTTTGGGTTTTCGCGGACAGTCCACTTGTATCGAAGCGGACTTTCCCAATAGCGAGTACCGGACAGGCCATTTCGAAAATTCGAAACTGCAGACTGTCCGAAGGCAAAAACGTGACTTTTCTCTACATCTGAAACTACCGAAGTACTGTGCACTCGCTAGAGCTACTGTACCATCGTAACCCCAGTCACACACTCTCGCCAGTTTCGCTCACCACGGCTCGATTTCAAACATTTCACACCCACCCAGCACACCACACAACTCGATACATCGAAACGAGCACACAGACACACATGTTCACAGAGCACATACACACTAGTCTCGTAGTTTCGCCATGTCTAGGAGGCTCCTACTCTCTGTACTTCACCTGTTATACAGAGGTTACCAAGAGTTCATCGTTAGGCCAGCCATTGACCAACTCGCAGACGTGATATTGCTGCTAGAAGATGAAGACCGTAACATTATGCGACGTGACCGCGAGAACCAGAGAGCGCGGTGGGACCTTCTCATCGTGGCTATGCCGAACCACATTTTCATGGACACGTTGAGACTTAATCGTCCAGTTTTTGAATACCTAGTTGACGCGTGGGTCACTAGGTTCGGGGACAGGCGGAGAGTAGTGCCGATTGATACTTGTGTGGCAATGACTTTTGTCTATCTAGGCACGGGTGCCACATTTCGTCAAATGGCATTGCAGTTTGGAGTAGTACCCACGCACGCTTTCCGAATCATCCACAACTTCATAGCCTTCATTGTGGACATTCTAGAGCCTCTGTGGGTCTCTCACCCATCGCTTGAGCAATGCGTCGAGATAGCAGAGGACTTTAGATACGAAAGGGGTATTCCGGGTGTGATTGGTGCGTTGGATGGTACATTCATAGAGTGCAGGGGGTTTGGACGGGACAAGGAGGACTTTAAAAACAGGAAGGGATTCTACTCCATACACCTGCAGATAGCATGTGACAGCAACGGAATCATTTGGGATTACAACGCCGGCTACCCCGGAAGTGTGAATGACGCACGCGTGTTCAACAATTCACCACTGAAGGAGTGCATGGAAGCGGGAGAACTAGGCAACTACATGCTTGTAAGTGATGCCGCGTATGCTCTAAAAAACTACACCTGCGTTCCGTGGCGGGCTACTCCGGGAAGGGCTCTGCCACGGGCAAAAGACAAATGGAACACACAACAGTCAAGGCAGAGAATGGTGGTTGAGCAAGTGAATGGGAGGCTGAAGGGGAAGTGGAGAATTCTGGACGCGCGGATGGAGTGCCACAGTGAACGGGTCCCACAAGTTGTGAGTGTGTGCGTCACATTGCACAATATTGAGCTCACGCTCGGGAGCAGGGATCGCCTCGGCCCTACGAGCGAGTGCAATCGGTGATACCAAGCAGGAAGACCAGTAGCGCGACCCGCCCCGGAGCGCTTGCTGCGATCGTTGATCTTGCGCCATTGCTCCTTCATGCGATTGTACTTCGCTTTGAGCGCTGCTACATCGTGACGCCAACGGGGATTCTGCTCCAGAAGCTCTTGCTGGATTAACGGGTACCAACTGCGGCCTTGCTGCCCAGTGCGCGCCCGGATCTGTGCCTGCGTGGTGATGAACGCGGCTAGGACCTCGCATTCTTCTTCGGGGGTCCAGCGAGGGAGAGTCCTGCCTATAGATCGCCGTGAAGGAGCTGTAGTTTCAGATGTGGGGGCTGTCTCCTGCTCCGTTTGCTCCTCCTCTACCTCGCCCAGAGTTGCGACATTGTCCATGTCAGCACCGATACCATAGTCGTCGTCGGCGTCGTAGGAGGCTGTGGGGGAAGGGATCTGTTAGACCCACCAGTCAGCTGGAGTGACGGTGGTTGCGGTGGAGGGCTGAGTGTTGGCGAGTGTCTGAGCAGCGATCTGGGACTCTTCTGCCTCTGGCAGATCTAGAGGGAGCGGGGGTTCAGCATGGGGACTTTGACTAGAGGTGTTCGGGGTGGTGTTGGCCGGTTCAGAGTTGTCACCTGCGCTAGAGTGCTTCATTGCAGGCTGAGTGTGAGGGTTCAGTTCGGATTGCTGGGGCCTTTGTAGTGTTGGTGGGCTAGGGGGTGATGTGAACGTTCAATGTTCAGTCGCGCGGCGCGGTCCTCAAATAAATTGAACATGCGGCTCGGTTTTTGTTTTTCGAGACCTTCGCGCGCCAATCCAGTGTCAGAACTGTGCATCCGTCCGTTTGCAATTCGAACTGCCAAAAGTTCAGAATGTGAACCGTTGCTCGGAGGGAAAAGTGACGCGACGGTTCGAACCGCTGGCGACGTCGCCAAAACCTTCACGAAACAGTCACGACAAGTGACGAAACGGGTAACATTTTCGCAAATCGGACGGTCCACGGTTCGAACCGTCGGGAGCAAAAAAGGCACACGCCCTTAGGGCGCGTGTCCTTGAGGTCGAACTTTTGCCAAAGTTCGAGCTTCTAGAAAGGTTGTACACGGTAGGATACAGTTGAGAAACGTGTCGCCACGGTACAAAGCGGTATTTGGCTTGAACTTCGACAATCTACACCATAAGACACGCGCCCTTAGGTGCTCATTGTGTACATCCTTTTGTACTGTATTATACACATTTCACTGTTTGATTGACGAGTGCTTGTTACTGTATATGCAGCAAGCATCTTCACAACATATACTATGTCATCATGTAAAACTATAGATATCAATTGAGGCCCTTATAATTAACTGTTAGTGATGGGCAAGGATAATAGAAAAATGAAGTACAGTAACACCTACACCCAGAAAGGAAGCATGTTCATGAAAACACTGTCCCATTCCAACATCGCACTCAACCATGCCGTTGTTCACCTTCACTAAAATGGTTCACTTGTACCGAATAATTATCCAAGTTTTGTGTTCCCCATTGTGTCAACCTTGGCGCACAAGAAACTGGTGTGTGGTGCGACATGTCACTCGTCCTTGGTCAGAAAGAGGTATGAAACCTGCATGCAAGAAATGTACACATGCATGGGGCATGGAACATGGGGCATGGTGGGCATGGCGGGCATGGGAAATGGGGCATGGTGGACATGGGACATGGGGCATGGTGGGCATGGTAGACATGGTGGGCATGGGGCATGAAGTATGCATCATGGGTCACAGGGCACGGGACATCGGGCAAGGGAGTGGGGCATGGATGACACGTCAGGGCATGAGCCATGGTGCACAGGGCATGGGGCACAGGGCATGGGGCACACGGCATGGGGCACAGGCATGCGGCACAAGGCATGGGAGCATACATGGGCCAGGATATTTTGAGTAGGGAAGGGGAACACAGTTAGGTTAGAAATCTAGGACGAGCAGCTCACCCAGGCCATAAAGGAGAAGACTGTAACGGAGATGGCTATCTGATGGAGAGGGCAGGAGCATTCAGACCGCCTCCTCCTGAACTTGCGCACTGACAGGGGGGGGGGGCGGAGGAGCAGGGAAGCAGCGGGCAGGGGGAAGAGGAGGATGAGGGGAGGGTGGGGATGGATGAATAGGTGAAAGATATGTGGGTAGGGACTGCACTGGAAGGCTGGCAGAGGACAGTTAATGCAAGGGGAGTATGGGGAAGGGGGTACAGCATCTGAGTGTTAACTTATAGACTGAGGAGCAAACCATGAAAAGAGCCCCCCCCCCACATACCACATCCCTCCCTCCCCCCCCCCTTTCCCCTTTTTAAACATGTCAAGAAACAGGATCCTGCCAAAGCGTCAAATGGAAAAGCGTGGGACGAGGAAGTCAACGCATGAGGTGGCACAGCCACAATCCGTGAAACCCGAAGCTTTTTGCGTGCTGAATAGCCTGGTTCTATTGTGTGCAAGAAACTTGTGGGATAGAGGTGAAGGTGGTGATGGTAGAGAACGGTCTGTTTTGTCCAAGCAGACCGTACCTTTGTCTCCTCAAGCCTTGTAAACGCGAAGCTTTGTCAACTCGGAATATCTTCGAGTTGCAGTGGGGATTTCAAAATAGTTCACATGAGGACTGCAAATACCTCTCATCGTGTTGCACCAGCTGGACGGGCAGCAGCATGAAGCTTTTTGAGTCGACTCAGAGTCGACTCATAAGCCATGGCATGAAGGTGCCACGGAGGCCCGGCACGGCGCGCTTCGCACTTCCTTTACGCGAACGGGAAGCTGGAAAACTCACCGGTCTCAGTGTCGCCCGATATTGTCACATTCGTGTACGAGCGGGTTCGCTGCGGCGTAACTCCCAGGGCCGTCGACGCGCCGGTTGCTGCAGCAACGGCCGCGATGAGCGGATCGTCCTTGAGCTCGATGTCATCTGCGCCGGGCGGCAGTGCCGTATTCGAATGCACTCGCTGCATCTCGCAGCATCCGACTGCCTCCTAGTACTCTTTCCCCGATTCTCCCTCCGAATCTGACTCTTTCCAATCGGGTCTCCTATTCGCCCTCCAATTCCCGCTCCGTCTGGCTCCGACTGACCTAGCTAACTACCCGCTAGTGCCACTAGCTACGGGCTACACTCGCGGGAGTCGAATTTGTTCTCGCGGCTGCTTTTGGAATCTCGGTGGTGTTTCGGTGAACCCTGGGTTAGTAGGTCAAACTGTTGATTTGCTCTTAAAAATGTTTGGAGAAAAGGCTTGTAAGAGAGTGAGCGCTGGTCAAGGCTGTACCTGCGTGCATGATGAACACTTGTCGTATCTAGCAGGCAAGAGCTATGGACGTAGTATGAAGCCTAAGCGAATTAACAAGAGTCACATGAGGGTCTAAGAGTCATGCTTACGACCACAAGCAAGCTGAAATAGCTGGAGAAGGCGACGCGGCGGCCTGTCTCTAATTCTTGGCAATACTGAAAGAAAATGAAATCAAGCCAGTTTGCGGAAATGTCGGCGAGAGTTGAGGTGCGTGATGGGATTATGGATCATGAAAGCGGTAGGGCAGCCGGAGGTCAGTTGCTCGTGGCCAGTTTCGAGTTAAAAATGGATTGTGTCCAGAACCGGGGTAAGTCGAATTTCAATGGTGCGAAAGAGCTTGTTGGATAAAAGAAACCATTAGGCTCCGATATGTATATAGATTAGCACTGGCACACGTATTTCCTCTGCAGAAATCTCCGACAGTTTTCGTACTGGAACGGGGAGCATACATTCATAGCAGATAGGCCCCGATTTTGCATCAAAGGGCAGCACAACAGTATTTCATTGGCTGGCTCGGCTAGTTCCTCCGGCCTGGTTTCGTTCGGCTAGTCCCTGCCCGAACTTCGATTGAAGGGGAGCTTTCCGCCCTTGTGTCCATTTCAGGTCAGTTTTGCCAAACCCCGCCCCTCAACCTCCGCGCCTTAGGTCTGTCTTCGTGTTCGGGTTACCGCACAACTTCGCATGAAGTTGGAACTGCGATGCAGTATGTCCAGTCCAGTCTCGACTCCTGAATCTATTTTGCTGCACAATGCACATGGAACAAATCGTGCAGTAGTGCCCTGCTAACCAGCAGCAACAGCTATTTTCTATATTCCGTGAGCCCTTATGGCTGGATTACTCTCACCGCATCTGCATCGCCACGTCAGCCTCTCGCAGCCGCATCAAACGCCGAGGATTTTTTCCGTAGAGCCCCTCTTTTGCAACGGCTCTCTGACGTGTCCAAGCGCTAGCAAGGCAAGCACTCCAATCGCGATCGCATGCATATCCACCTTGCCCCGCCGTCGAAGCAACGCAAGCAAGCAACGTTTCACTGTAACCGCCACCGCTCGTTCTCGCCACGTGTCGTCCGTGTCGCATGGTTTAGCGTGCGCGGACGGATGGCGACGCGATAGCTCGATTGATCCGAGGAGACAGACTGGCAGGGTACGCGCGTCTCGAGGCGACAGCTCGAGTAGCAGAGACGGATGGCAGGGTCGGAACGAACCGCACAGGGAGAGCAGGTTCGGATCGCGGCAGGCTCGGACAGACGGCAGGTTCGGTGGCAGTGGCGGTGGAGGCTGGCGAGAGGATGAGCGAGACCCTCGTCAGGAGCGGGATTATAACGAGGGGTTTGACACGAGCGGGCGGGGAAGAAGAGTAGAATGGGACCACGGAGAGAGGGGAATAGGGGGTGGGCGGGAGAGGGGACGTGGCGATTGGCGGGAGGGGGAGGGGGACGGGGAGCGGAACTGGCGGAGGGAGGGATCGGGGCGGTGGGATGCGGGCGAGGAGGGGGAGCGAGAGGGCGGGGGGAGAGAATCCAGGGCGCGGGATGGATACGGGAGGTTTGAGCAGGATAGGCGCGGGGAGGACCCGAGGGGGGAAGCCGAACAGTGGCAGGAGCGGCAGTGGGACGGGCGAGGAAGGGAAGAGAGGAGCGGACGGTCGTGGGACACGGATCAGAGGGGTTCTTTCTCACGAGATGGTGGCTCTCGATATAGTGACAGGGGGCGTGGTCGTGGTAGCGGCGAGGTGCCACGTGGCGCTCGTCGTGACTATAACGAGGGTTCCACCAGCGGGTTCAGGAACCGCGGAGGCCTCAGAGGGAGAAGAGACGACGCGGGGAGAGGCGATGGATCGAGGTTTAGGGAAGGGTTCAAGCAGGGTTCAAGGGAGGGAGAGCAGTGGGAGAGCGAGGGACGCAGGGAGTACGATCCCCGAGGGTCTAAGCGAGAGGATCAGGCTGGAGAGGACTGGGAGGGGCCCGAGTCAGGGAGGAGGGAGTCTCTTCCAGGGAGGCGAGTGGCAGCAGTAGCAGCTGGTGGAAGGTTTGAGATGAGAGGGGAGGAGAGGGGTGGGGCGAGAAGAGCAGGAGAGCGAGAGGGAGTGAGGGAGGGAGTGAGAGGCGGAGTGAGGGAGGGAGTGAGAAGCGGAGTGGAAGGCAAAGAAGAGGAGGCCGCGTGGCAGGACCCGCTGTTGCACGTGGGCGAGGTGGCGAGCGTGAGCAACGCGTTTGTGAAGCGCGCCGTGCGGCTGAGGCAGAGCAGCGCAGCGCGGAGAGCGTGGGGGCGCGTGCTGGTGGCGGGCGAGGTGCCCGTGCAGGAGATCTGCGCGCCCTGGCTGCAGCCACAGGGGGAGGTGCAGGGGGAGGGGGAGGGCGAGGGGCAGGGGGGGACGCAGGGGGAGGGGTGGGGGGGAGGGGGAGGGCGAGGGGCAGGGGGATCTGGCCGCCCTGGGCCGTGGCGAGTGCCCTCTGGACATCCTACTAGTGCAATCCGAGTCCCCCTCGCCCCCGCCCCCTGGGCTGGTGCGTGTGGCTCGGCGTGTGCTGTACGTGTCACCTGCTGTGATGAGCCGCCTGGCAGGCGTGCAGAGCGTGGGCGCTGCTGCTGTCGCTGCTGTCATGCTGCTCCCGGCGTCGTTTCGCGTGCTGGAGAGCGGTGGCGATGATGGGGGTGGTGAGGGTGCGGAGGAGGACGAGGAGGCAGGGGAGGAGGAGAAGGGGGATTGGGACGGGGAAGGGGTACGGGGAAGGGGAGGAGAGAAGTGGAGAGGAGGGGTTGGTGGGGAGGGCTGTGGAGGGACAGGTGGAAGGGGAGGGGAGGTTGGGGGAGAAAGGGGGGAGTGGGGGAGGTGCGGAGGGTGGAAGGGCGGAAGGAGGGCATGGTGCAGGCAGGCAGTGGTTTGAAGGGGAGGGGGGCGCACGAGGATGGGGAGGTGACATGTCGCGAGTGCTTGTGCTGGATGGCGTACAGGTAAGCAGCTGTGGAATGCTGGCTCCGGTTAATTGCTCCAATAACTTGCTCCAATAACTTTCTCTTGTAATTTGCTCCCATAACTTATCCCTCTGCACACATGCATCTCTGTGCGTGTAACCCGTGTTCGCACACATACACACGCATGCACGCACGCAATCACTGTCACCCCCCTCTTTCCATATCCTGTAACCTGTCCCCACCATGCTCCCTCCCTGCCTGTCGCCTCACCAGGACCCCGGAAATCTGGGCACGTTGCTGCGCACGGCTCTGGCGTTTGACTGGGTGATTGAGAAATGGTGTGGGGGGGAGTGGAAAAGTGGAGAGACGAGGAGGAGTAGCATGGGTTATTTGGTATGACTGGGGCCTTAGTTCCTTGAACTGCTTGCAACAGCTTCCGATGCTTGCCCATTCAGTTCACTATACATGCAACCATGCAACCTGGGTCCCACTTTCCAGCAGTCCCTCTATTATACCTCTTCTGTCTTCCTTTCTAACACGCCTCTTTCCCCCGTCTCTCCATCTCCTTCCACCTGCCCGTGCTTCCCCCTCCCTCCACACTCATCCTTGTTTTTCTCGGGCAGCACGGCGTGTTTCTCCTGCCCGGGTGCTGCGACCCGTTCAACGACAAGGCACTGAGAGCATCAAGGGGAGTGCTGTTCCGCCGGCCTGTGGCTGTCGGTGACTGGTCCCACCTCCTCTCCCTCACCTCCCACCACAACCTCTCCCTCCTCGCTGCCCACCCTGCTGCTGCTGATACTGCTGATGCTAGTGCTGGCGCAAGTGGTGCTGCTGCCACATCTGATGCTACACCAGCTGCTATACCTCCTGCTCCTGCAAATGCACTTCCTCCTCTCTCCACCTCCACCACACCTACAACCACCACACTTCCCCCCTCCTCCCCTTCCCCCTCCTCTTCCTCATCCCCAGCACCACACGGAATCTGTCTCGTGCTGGGCAGTGAGGGGCAGGGTCTATCAGCCACAGCACTGCGCCTGTGCCAGCCAGTGGCCATTCCCATGCCGGGGGGAGCCGAGTCCCTCAATGTGGCTGTTGCTGGAGGGATCCTGCTCTTCCTGCTCGGCCCGCATTCCCCACTGCCTCCTTCCCATATGGCCGCTGATTCGCCACCTCTAGCAGTCTCTGTTTAGACTGGCTTCTATCTTCGAGCTTTATTTTGGTGGTTTCCTCTTTACTCCACTTCTTTAGTTTTGAAGTCAATCATGGCTGGTACGGGCATAGCTGTCCAGTGTACACTGGAGAATGAGCTGGTAGTGGAGCAATCCTACAAAGTAGGCATTGAAACAAGATGTACAAGAGCAAATACAGGGTAGAAATTACAGGGTAGGAATATCTTTACTTCGCCTAGAGAACTCTGCCTGCTCCTGTTTGTCCCTCAACGTGACTTTCTGCACCCTTGCTCCGTACAAGTCATGCAAGAATCAGAACCATAACATAAATAAAGATTCAACCTCCTTCAGAACTTCAGTCGGCAGCAGTCAGTCTCCACCTCCCCTTCCCACTCCACCATCCCTCTCCCCACAGGGCCGCACCCCTCTTCCTTCACCCCCAAGAAAAAGCCCACTCACACCTCCTTAGTGAGCTTCAGGGGCGTCTTGACCCCCTTAACCACGACGTACCCCAGCGACGGCGACACATACTCCACCGTCTCGCTCAGCTTGAACGGGGCCGCGTCGCCCGTGGGCCCCTCGGGGTGGCAGTTGGAGTGGATCTGCACGCCTGTGACCACAGCGTAGTCCGCCTTAGTGGCGTCCACAGCCTTGGCTATGAGCTTCTTGATCGTGTCATTGATCACTGCCACAGCGGCTTTAGTTACTGCCACAATGTTGGCAGGTGGGTCCTGCGCGTGAGGGGTCGGGTCAGGACGATGGGGCGGAAGAAAGGGGAGGGAGAAGGGGGGGGGGGGAGTAAGGGGAGTAAAAGAGGGGGGTTTTGGAGTGGGGGGTCGATCGATTGGAAGGACAAATTCGGATAGGGTCACCGACACTGTTGAAATTTCTCAAAAAGGATTATTCCCCTTTCAGAGGTACTGACCTTAAAGCGCAGCTTCTTGAAGAGCAGGTGAGCCTCCATGTCCTCCTCATCCGCCTTGCGAGGCGCCCCAGAAACAGACAACCCCACTACTTTCCCCCACCCCACCCTTCCATACCCCCCATTCCCCTCCCAACTGACCTTAACGCGCAGCTTCTTGAAGAGCAAATGAGCCTCCATGTCCTCCTCGTCCGCCTCTCCCAACCCCTTTCCGTTGGCGAGCTGCGTCGTCAGCGCCGCCAGCGCGCCGCACGCGCCCGACATGGTCGCGCGGCCGTTGCGGCGCATCTTGCCGCACGTTCCGTGATCGTCGATGCCGATGTGCGTCAAGCCGAAAAACACGTCTGCTCGTGCACGCAGAACGAACGAACGAACGAAGATGGGAAGATGGGAAGGAAGGATGAGTGGCTGTTTCAAAGGAGAAGACGAAAGGCAGAATGAAAAGGAGGGAAGACTCTTTGGTAGAAAGCGAAGAGGCGGATTGGTGACGGCGAGGCATTCTCTGTCCTGCCACGCCGGCATTTCGCGGCATTCTCAACACGCAGGTCCTCCTTCGTCGTGGCATTCGCCGCGCGCATCCCGGATTGACTCGCCAAGCCGCATTCTGAATCCGCGGCGCCGCGCAACGCCGCATGTCCGAGTACCCACGTCGCAGCACCCGCATTTAAGCACCCACACGCCGCGTACATCGCTCGCGCCCGTTCGCGTCCATTCGCGTCTTGCAGGCCGTGCGACGTTTGAGTCGCCGACTCAAAAGTCGCCCGCATTCAAGCACCCACGATCAAGCACGTACATCGCTCGCGCCCACTCGCGTCCTGCGGGCTGTGCGACGTGCCGGCCTTGATGGAGAGCACGCCGCCGGGCGGCACGCCGGCGAGTCCGTTAAGCGAGAAGACGAGCCCGAAGTGCTTGTCGACCAACCCGTCGAACAGCCGCGACGCCTCGTCGCGACACGTGCTCACCAGCGCGATGCAGTTGTCCCTGGTGGTGGAAGGTAAGAAGACGGAAGATAATCAGTTACTATCGCGAACAATTCATCGTGCTGGTGATTTAGCAAGTAAACAACATGATATCATAGAATTGCTGCGATTCAAGAGACATTACCTCTTAAAGCCGTGCTCCTTCAGTTTCGCAGCGACTGTGTCGATAAACTCCGTCTCCTCCACGGCGCCTTTGAAATGCGTCTGAATCGCCGCCACTGCCGCGGGCGTCGCCTGCAATGGCGCGCGCGCGCACACAAAGGGGATGATTCCGCGAAGGAGGAGCTAGTCGATGGAGTTGTCATCTTGAATGGGGCAGAAAATGAGGCGAGAAGCAGATGATGATGTGATTTTGAAACTTGGTGTTGCTTGCAAGATTGAATTGAATCCACTACGAGTACGGTGCGGGCTGTTCTGCTGGCAACAGGAAGAAACAAAAGTTGCTGTGGAAGCAGTGCGCAAGAAAGGCAGAATGGACGCCAGCTGCAAGCACAGAATACAGTACAGTACCTCCTTCGCCATGATCGTTGCCGCCATTGCTTGCAGGGCGGTTGAGTTGCGGGAGGCTCCAATCGAAGAGGGGCGAATTGGAGAAGTGAAGCGAGGGAGCGAGCGACACAAGGTGAATGCGGACGAGATTGAGGAAACATTGAAACCAATGTGTGAATAAATACTGTACCAAAATGCAGGGCACGGTAGTTGGGCTGGCGCAAACGAGGAGGGGGGACAGGGGGAAAGGGAAGGAGGTGATGGTAGCGTGGGGAATGGGAGTGGGGGAACGGTTGGGGAAGCTGGGCTGATTTCAGAATACAGGATTTCTGATGTCAAGAAGAGTCAAGGGGGCGTGGATAAGATGCCAAAAAGTTCAGGGATGATCGCACTTCATACCCATATTTTTCACCTGTTTTGTGAGCTTTTATATAACATTACCCACAAAGCAGTAACCTTCAATGTGAAACTAGTGTTGTGTTCTCGACATTCTCCTGCAGCATCACAGAATTGACAACATATCAATGAAATCCAAATTTCACAATGGCTTTGAACATAACGAAGGCTTTACTGTACCGAGTTTGAGTGGGAAACAGTTGAAGTGTGCGGTTGGGGGTCCCTCCATCGTCCAGAAAGAGGAGTGTGAGAGCCAATCACAGCGCGAAAGTTGGGTCGGTGGATACCCCCAGGTGAAGCCGGCAGCTTCCTATGCTTTGTTTCGTTGTTTTCACGATTGACGTTCGAACAAGTGTATTCACAGAACAAATCCATGTAATGTGAGCTCTCAAACGCGGTTTCCCGAAGGAACTAAGGGCGAACCCAACATCAGAATTGCATTCGGAGTGGTGCGACTGAAGCCTAAACTTCTGGCGAAGCTCCGTGTGTGAATCAGACATTTTGGTAAACTCAGCTGCGCTCCAGAGAATAACAGGCTCACTGCCTGCCAAATGACCACATTAAAATCTTTCATTTCTTCCTGAAGTGCCCCCATTCCGACATACATCCCCGAGATCTTCGCTGACTTGCTCTCAACAAGCACCCAACACCAGCACGCCACATCACATCAGCAGTATTGAGAATCAAGCCAACATCCTCGTTACGGACACTTAACGACGTCTCAGTTCTATTAGCGGCAAAATAATCAGATGGGATGTACTTGAAAGGACTACTAATGCTAAAAAACTTAGAAGGCTACCTTGTATGCTCAGGTTCACTGCAATAAACTATTTTCGGTAATTTAGGCCAGCGGTTTAGAAGTTCAGCCTCAAGTGGAAATTGGAGCCTCTCAATCTCAGTTGTAACAGATTACAGCATGTCACGTTCTCACCAATTAACCATGCACAAAACCATGAAAACAGGGTTCAATTCACCCCACAAAATTGACATGAAAGCAATTTCCCAACCATTAGCCACTCTCAATCCAGCACAATTCAAATGCACTTAGTACACTCCTAGTTCTATCAGGCCTTACCGTTTGACCCATTGGAAGCTCTTTCTTGCCTTGGCCTTGCCTGGCTTCTTACGCTCCACCATACGCGAGTCACGGGTCAGCAGACCAGCTGAGTTACGGGATAGGGGGGATGTCAGCATGGATGGGTGACAGGATGGGAAAGATGGTCAATATGCCAAGAAGCCATGAATATGACAGAAGAGACAACATGCACCGCATAATCTTCATAAGTTACCTCCAGGGTTTGGGGTTTACAAAACAAACTCCAGATTTAAAACATCAGCCTTTGGAACTATCAGTCGACACCGGCCTACCAGAGACCATGAATCACAACATCAAAGCCTACCGGCCAATATAGAAGGAGTAAGGATGAAATGGGGGACTGAACGACATGTGGCAGTGCAGCAGAGGTTTACCAACCTGACTTGAGGGCCGGGCGGTATGTGGGGTCAAACTGCTGCAGCGCTCGGCTGATGCCGTGTCGCATGGCGCCCGCTTGGCCTGATCAGGAGGGAGAGAGAGATGGAGAGAAGCCGAGTGGGGACGTGGCAGGAGGGTAAAGAAAAGAGAAAGCAGAGAAGTGTGGTGAAGCAGAAAGGGGTAGGGAAGAGGACGGGGCAGGAGTGACTGGAGAAGCAGATGACGAAAACTGAGGTTAAGCGAAGAGGACAGCTCGCGAGCTGGATCGAGATAATCAGAGGTGGAGAGAGGGCGGATGGGGAGGGTGGGGGAGGGTAAAGAAAGATTGATAAAGTGAAGAGCAGAAAGGGGCAGGGGAGAGCACGGGGCAGGAGTGAGTGGAGAGGCAGTTGAGAAACACTGAAATGGTAAAGCGAAGATCATAGCTCGCAATCCCACCAGTTTCCCCCTTCTGTATACAAACGACGCCTCGCACCTGCCATCACTCACTCCCAAATGCGTTGCGTTTACCCTCACCTGACACGCCTCCGCCTTTCACGGTCGCCTTCACGTCGAACACCCCGGCCGTGCCCGTTTCCACGAACGGCTCCAGCATCGCCGCGCGCTGCGCCAGATCGGGAAAGTACAGATCCAACGGCTGCCCGTTCACTACCACTCCGCCGCTACCCTTCCGCAGCCACACGCGCGCAACGCTCGTCTTCCGCCTCCCCGTGCCGTACGCGCGCCCCAGCGCGTCCACGCACGCAACTCTCCGCCGCGCAATCTCCGCCTGCTTTTCTTTTTCCGCCTCTCGCCGCGCGGCGCGCGCCTTGGCCTCGTCGTCGTCCGCCAGAAGCTCTTCTAACGGGGGCAAGCCAGGAACCCCGGCCAGATCCCTCATTAACATCACACTGTCCAGCTCCTCATCCGATATAGTCGCACTCGCTGCCTCGAAGAACTCGTCTGAGAGCTCATCCGGGATCCCCTCGTTAAAAATGTCTTCCGTGACTACCGCTGACGCCTCTTTCGATACAGTCACATCGGCCACCTCCCCGCCCTCGGCGCTACTCCCCGCACTTCCAGACTTTTGTTTGCCCGGATCAGAGATTCCGGATCTGCCCGTGGGGGGCTCTGCGGCCGCTGCCGTGACACTCGATCTGCCCGTGAAGGAGAATAACGAGCTCGAGGAGAAAGGACGCGAGAGAGGAGGTTTATTATCAAGAATTCTAGATGACCAATGGGGCCGGCCTTGAGGGTTGTCGTGGGAGAGAGTCGTTCGGATCTGTACCGCTCTGGCTCGGACGCTGTGGAGGTTTGGCACGAGGTTTGGCGGCAGGCTCGGCATGGAGTGCGGGCGGTTGCGTTGGCTGTTATGCGCCGAGGTGGTTCTGCTGGCTGCCTCACTGCTCGCTTCGGAAACCAAGTGCTCGCGGCTGGATCCTATTACGTGGAGGTCCGTCCGATTGGAGTGGGAGGACGAATCGACGGATGAGAGGAGGACGTTTGGGACAAGCCTGCCGGCAGCGGCGGATGCGGCGGGAAACGCGGAGGCGGGCGATTTGGAAACGGACGATGATACGAGGGCATCGGAGTGGATGCAACGGCGGACCAGGTGGCTGACGTGGCTCAGTGCCACGCTGGCAAGGCGCTGCTGACACTGACGTGGCATGGTGGAAAAATGGCGGGAAGACGGTCGAGGAGGAGAAGTCGACAAGAGAAGGTCGAACGGAACGCCGTGATTGGCCGACGTAGGATCTGAAAAGCGCGACTCGAGAACGGCCGAGAATGCCGGGGTCGACTGACGAGTGAATCGTGCCTCGGCGCAGAAAGCGGATACCGATTAAGCTCGTCAATGGAGAGCGGGTCACAGGAGCACCACGCGTACTGTCTGACAGCAAACCCGCGTGCGACGGTATGCGACGAAATACGGCGGCAAGGAGGTCCCCACTTCGCGCAGAGAACCCTCAGCTCCTTTGCCGCATGATGGAGCGGAGCGGAAGATGCAAGAGAGAATGTAGGCAGGTACAAGTACAATACCCCTGGTCCCATATAAGACGGAGACATAGTGTAGGTTTGTCGCGATAAGCTATGGAGACAATTTGTCTCTATAACGAGTTCCAAACCCCGTGTAGGTTTGTCACAAATCACCCCGAAAACAAAGGTCGCCATTCTTCGCATTGCTGAATTGACCACAATTTTTGCACGCAAGGCTGGAACTTTCTGGATACCGCCGAATATATCTCAGCAGACAAGCGAGTCCGCCCTGGGGAGCTCGCTGCCCGCGGGCAAAAAAAATAAAACCCATTCGGGCATGCATCCGGTCAGGGAGGCATCAACCCTAAACACAGGGAGGCATGGATTTAGGGTTGATGCCTCCCTCGGATGGCATGCCATCCGAGAGGGTTTTAGTTTTTTCTGCCCGGGGCAGCATGTCGTCAAGTCGTCAACAGGTCGTCAGGCTTGACGACCCGTTTCCGCTGAGATATTGACAACGGAGTTCGTCAGCTTCGGAAAGCTCTGCCTTGTGCGAAAATCCTGCGAAGTAACCTCCAAACTGTTCTCAAAACACACACCGTGAACCCAGCAGCAGCAAAGTCATCTCACTTAGGCGACCAGGGAGATCTGTCGCCTGCTCTAGACAGTTGAGAGCCACCATAGGAAGAAAACCTCAAATTTCGTAGCGAATTGATCGCGTCGCGCCTGCACGTGTGACATTGCCTAGCATGGCTCGTCGAACGTCATATTTATTCCACCTACTCTTGGCTCTCATCGTCTCCAGCGCTGTCCTGACCTGTGGCGCCAGCCTGGACGATCGGCAATCCAGACAACACAGGAGCTACAGCGAAATCGAGGCCGAGGTACCGAGCCCTACGTCAGCCTTATTCAGCCATCGTTCTCTCCGATCCTCCTTCCCCTCATCACTTCATCACATTCCAATCCCCCACGATATTTTGAGCGAACTGTACGACCGTCTGGTACCTTGCATCTGCTGCTCCCGTTCCGATCCCGAATCCCGTTCCTCTCTTTCCGTTCTTCCTCCCCGAGCAGCAGCAGGGAAGCTGCGCGCGGACTTGCGCGGAGGTCAAGTGCGACAGTGAGTGCTCGTCTCTGTAATCCACGCCTCCCCCCCCTTCCTCCTCCTCCTCCTCCTCCTCCTCCTCCTCTATTCCTTTCTCGCTCCCTTGCGCACACACAACACACACCACACACACACACACACACACACACACACACACACACACACACACACACACACACACACACACACACACACACACACACACACAAGAATGTATGCACGCACACACCTTCCTCCTCTTCTCCCTCCCCCCCCCCCCCACCCAACGCACACACGCACCTACACCCACACACACAAACACACGCAGTCTTCCCTCGTACGTCATTATGGCTTCCTTCTTCCCCTGCCATGCCTTCACTTGCCTTTCGTTGCCTCCTTCCCTCCACTCACCCCTCTTTCTCCGCCCATCCCATTTTTCGTTCCCAACTTTCTCGCAATCACCCGTCTTCACTGCTCGCTCCCTCTCTCCCTTACCAGCCCTGGGTTTGCGTTACGGCAAGTACTGTGGCGTGGGGTGGGGGGGCTGTCCTGGGGAGGCGCCGTGTGATGACCTGGACGCCTGCTGCAGGAAGCATGATAAATGCGCCGGAGAGTTTGGTGTGTCCCTAGCCTTTTCCCTTTCACTAGTAGTGTGAGGTTTCCTGTATATATTGCCATCAGTTCAGTTCTCTTGAATGTGCAGTATGCTTACATTCCCTGTGTCCTGCAGTTTTTACTATTTTTTTGAAACATTTTTTTTCTGATTTTGTGCTTGTGACTTCTTGTGCCTGTCATTTCTTTCTGAACTGTTTTGCTTCGGCCCGTCCCTTCTTTCCCCTACACCTACCAATACTGCTCTGCAGGCGTCCAGGCTGTCCAATGCCACAAGAAATTCAAGAAATGCATGCAGAAGGTGCAAGCATCAGGAAAGACAGGATTTTCCTCACTCTGCCCGTATGAAAAGGTAATTCCGATGCTTGTACAGGGGATGGATCTTGCAATAACGCTCTCACAGTTTGCCAGCGGCCAAGGAATAATTTCTTGAGCTACATTGACTTCACAATTTTTGTTGGTTTACATTTACTTGACATGCCAGAACCTGGAATTAATTACGCACTTATAATGTCCTTCAAAAGGCAAATCTGGAAATACGGTAGGCATACGTGTAACGAATTAGACACCCTGTCAGGAAAATTCCTTTTCCTTACTGTTGGAAACAAGTGATTTATAGCGTTTCTGTCGTATCGAAGCTTCGACACAAAACGGAACTGACTACAGCGAAGAAGCACTCGAGTCAACCAAGGCAACCGTCGGAGGTTGCGCGAAGGTCAAAGGTCTCCGACCTTTGACCTGACGAAACGTACAGTGCGACAGCAAGGACACATAACTGACTCGATACAGAGCAGTTACCCGAGTCGGCAGTACAAGGTGGTTCTTGGCAACTCTTCATTAAAACGCTTCCGCTATTACATCTCTACGTCAACACCCGATTTTGGTCCTGAAAGTTCCTAAGGGTTTTTCTCAGCCCAGCATGGTATGAGAGCAAGGCAGGACAAGATCACTTTTTAACTCTTTACAACACAAGTCATGGCTACAGAAAAGGAGAGGAGCTCCTCCAACGGATCTCTCGGCACCACCCCTACTCCACCTCCAGTTTCTGGCCTACAGACAGAAGAAGGCACAAGACCAGCTGCAGAGTCAACGGAAACTCCCGTGAATCAACAAGCAGGCTTCGACCCAAACCTGATGGAGAAGTTCTTCTCCTTCATGTCCTTCTACGAGCAACACCAGCAAGAAGCTCATGCGCAATCAAACAACAGCGACAACAACAACAGAGCAACACCGATGAGTCTTGATGGTTCATCGTACGCGCGCGGAAATCAACAACAACATACCTTTGCTCCGTATGAGCCTCAACGCGGCTCTGTCAGTTTCGCGCCGCAGCCGCAGTCTTCACCTGGACAAGAGAAGACACTTGACGCACTTCAGGTGCAATCGCAATTCACACACGTCCTAAAATTGCAAACATCAACACTCTTCGACGGGAAAGACTTCTATACCTGGTCATTCGAATTTGAGCTGATGATGGAGGGCGCACAAATCCTCGGATTCTTCGACGGGTCCCTGCCATATCCAGCACACGGGACACAGTACGACAAGCAGCAATACATGTATCAGTCACTGATGGCGTATACAATACTTCTTCGAAACTTGACGCCAAACGAGCAACAGAACATCCGGTCTTATCGAGGATACAGCAACTCCGCCGAGCTGGCATACGACCATCTGAAGAGCCTGTATCAAGCAACAGACAGCGTTAACCAGAGTCGTCTCATGGCACAGTTGACAACAGTGGAAATGAAACCCGGCGAAAAGGGAATGGCTTATATTAGCCGTTGTCGCGGACTACGCGACAGACTCCTTCGATGCAGAGGGTCAATCTCGGAAGAAGCATTTGTAACAGTCATCATCGCCGGCCTTGGTCCTCATTGGCGCTCCACTCGAGCACTTCTTCGAGCTCACGGGAAGATCTCCGAAGCAGCACTTTGCGCCGAAATTCACGCAGAACAGCAAGACATGGACCTGCACGAAGAACGACACAAGAAGAAAGCATTAGCATCGGAGTTCGCCTTCCATACTCAACGACGCTACAACAACAACAACAACTGACACAACAACCGACAAGTACAACAATACGTCCCACCGTTTTGTCATCTTTGCAAGACGTCCGGTCATCCGCGCACACACTGCCCGAATCAGCAGAAGTCGACAACACCGCACCGTCAACTTCGGCCCTCAAGCAGTCAAGTAACCTCTACGGAGGCGCATCCTACCAGTCAAGTGCAACCTTCAACATCTTCAACATCGCAATCTGCACAAGGAACAAGAAACATCGTTAGCTGCATGACAAGAACGACGGATTCCTGCATCACCGGATCACCACCCTACTACTCACCAGAAGACCAACTCGACGAAAGGACTCCCCGCCGCGACTCACTGGAGCCTAATCCGACGTATGCAGCTATCGCCCAAAGCGAACCATCCGGGCAAGACACTTGGTTCTTGGACAGTTGCTGCGGACAACATATGTGTTCCTTGAGTCGTTTCGTCCAACAAGAGCATCAACTTCAGCGCGAAGTCGTCATCACTGTGGCCAACAACCAGAACCTGCACACACGACGACAAGGAGTAGTACAACTTCAGTCCCGAGAGACTAACGTCATCCTACAAATGACTATGTTCGCCTCAGGTGAGGGAACCTCGTCGACGTAGGTGCCTGTGGACTT